AATTCCGGTTGGTGGTAGATAATTGTTCTCATCTTCATTTTGTTGGTTTGTTCAAATATAATGGAATATATTTACATCAACTACAATAATTTGACTCTTAGATAGAACCATGCTCTTATTTTGCTTTAATGACAATTTGAAAATGGTCAAACAAGCCTAAGACTTGAAGGTCAGTAAAAGAGAACTTAAGGTATATATGTGTGTACTATGTAATTCTATGGGTATATTCTTCCCCAAAATACGTATCAGTACAAGATCTGGAAAAATCTCAAATGACTATCAATGGAAAATTGGCGATAGACTCTCTTAGTGCTGACTTGATACATGTATATGTACTTTGCAAATAAAATTATTGGATTGAACAATGTTTTACAGTAACCTTTTCCTTGTGTTGAAGTTATTTTCATTTATAGTTATTACATGTATCATAGCTGAAAAACACATAAAGTTACAAAACGTATAATCTTGCACTTATTTATTCCACCTTGAAAATAAATTTATAAGTAAACTCATGCCAGAAGAAGACTTAAATGACGAAGAATTAAGTATGCATAATGAAATCTTGAATAAATTATGATAAGTTCTTGAAATATACCAGTAATGATACCGTAAATATAATCCATGGCCAATATTATTTTAAAACCGTCTATAAGTTCTTAATTTATTTCCCTGCACCATGTCAGGTTTCTCATTATCATACATACTGTTATGTATTTAAATGTAAATAGTAATTTATTTGATAACAAGTTCTTTTCTATTGATCTATGCCCCTCCCTGATCGGATGTACAGTGATAGTTGTGTCCGTCCGTTCGTTCGTTCGTTAATGCGTTTGCTGGTCCTCACACACTTTTGGTGTTGTATCGGCAGCTCATCCTTACCGACTGAGTAGATTTCAATAAGCATGTCAGAAGGTTTTAAGTATCTTATGGTAAAACATATTTTTTTTATTTTATTCACAGTTTTCTATTACTTTGCAATCTATTCCTCTCTATTTACCTCTTTATACATTTCTTAATACAAAAAATAAAATGTCCTAAAAATCAAAATAACAAAATAGTGCTATGATAATAATACAGAATGTTGATATAGATGTATGCATTACATTTTGAAAATATATCAGATGTACACTTTATGTAAAGGCGTGCAAAAAAAAACTATTTGAAAGTTTAATCACGTTTTGGAACATAAAATGGAAAAGAACAAATAATTGGTAAATAAGAAACTTCTTTCCAAAAATGCGTTTTTCTTAAGAAGTATTCATATCAACAACCAAGTTTTTGGTTGAGTAATGTCAAATACGACTTGATAAATAGTGCAATTGATCTCAGTTAAATAGAAATAGACATTTATTTAAAAGAAATTAGATATCGAAATGCCAAGGAGAATATTTGAAAAACATTTCCATTCTATTCTTAGATATAAGAAGATGTGGTATGAGTGCCAACGAGACAACTCTCCAACCAAGTCACAATTTGTAAAAGTAAACCACTATAGGTCAAAGTACGGCCTTCAACACTGAGCCTTGGCTCACACCAAACAGCAAGCTATAAAGGGCCCCAAAAATGACTAGTGTAAAACCATTCAAACAGGAAAACCAACAGTCTAATCTATATAAAAAACGAGAAACGAGAAATACTTATGAATCACATCAACAAACTACAACCACTGAACATCAGGTTCCTGACTTAGGACAGGTGCAAACAAATGCAGCGGGTTTAAACGTTTTTATAGGCGCCAACTTTCACCCTACCTGAAACAATAGTGTAACATCACAACATAGAAAGACACACTATAAAATATCAATTGAAATGGCTGAACTCAATCAAAAGACATATTAACAAAAACAAGTGAACATACACTAAACGAATAAATTTGATCTATGACACAATGTAAATACAAAATTAATAAAACACGGGGGTTAGATGTAAAACAATATCAGAAAGACAACCATAACCTTGGACAAAATGCCGCCAAATAAAATAACGTACACAGGTAAATAAAAATAATTTTTGTTGTAAGGTATACATGGAGTACGGAAATAATTTTTACAAAATAAAAAATTTTGTTGTACCTAGTACGAGAACAAAAGTGAAAATTTATCGTCATACTAAACACTTATCAAAGGTGGTATATACCAAAAATAGTGAGACGAGATATAACACTAAATAAGTAGACATTAAATAACAAAAACACATTACAAATTGTATCAACAGGTCAAATTAACACGAAAGTACGATTTGAGAGTACTCGCAGTTACTGAAAGCTAGTTAAAAGCCAAAAACAATTAATAATAAAAAATCATGCAGCAGAGACTAAAATCAACTAAAAAGCATCCCAGGGATTTAGTGTTTTAACGTCATTTGACTTGTGCAATGCCAAAATAAAAGTATCGACATGAAGTAGGATAGCTAGGAGTTAACCTGTTGATAAATATGTATAATGTAATATATAGATAGAGTAATCTCTATATAGAAAATGAACGTGGATGTGTATTTATACATCCCAAAAACCGGTTGAAAAGAATACAAATTTAGTTACGTGTTAATTTGCTGATGACAAAATCGATGTTAGTGCCACTATATTCAAAGATCTAATTACAACATTGGTAAGATAACCTTTACTAATAAGTTTGTTTAAAGGTTCGATGAGTTTACACGGATCACATAGTGCTTTCCGCGCTTTTAGTACAATATTACTGTAAGAGGAGTAGGTTCGATAAGGCCCTAAAATGACCCCGTTTTTTAGCTTAAATTTCAAATAAGGATTTATTGACCAATATCACAATAATCATAGCTAATACAGTGACTAGATAGGAAATAAGACTTTTGAAAAAAATTACGTACTTACATTTTATTCCTGACGTCACAAATAGTAAAATTGAGAATGGAAATGGGGAATGTGTCAAAGAGACAACAACCCGACCATAGAACAGACAACAGCAGAAGGTCACCAACAGGTCTTCAATGCAGCGAGAAATTCCCGCACACGGAGGCGTCCTTCAGCTGGCCCCTAAACAAATATATATACTAGTTCAGTGATAATGAACGCCATACTAAACTCCAAATTGTACACAAGAAACTAAAATTAAAAATAATACAAGACTAACAAAGGCTAGAGGCTCCTGACTTGGGACAGGCGCAAAAATGCGGCGGGGTTTCCTAAAGTAATGAACTAAAGAAGTTCTCGCTCGGACACACACTCCATAATCTAGTATATTATAAGAGCATAAACCTGAAGCATGGGGAGGCACTCTACTGTCTCCACACGGCACTAAAGACAAACTCTGTAAAAAATAAAATTGAGAATGGAAATGGGGAATGTGTCAAAGAGACAACAACCCGACCATAGAACAGACAACAGCAGAAGGTCACCAACAGGAAAAAATCAAAGAAAATCGGCAAATTTGCATTACTTATTGGACAGGAAACACAGAGCGCATACGTCGACAAAAAAGATCTTTTGAAACAATGTTTGTATAGACATTTTACATTTCTAACTTGAATATTTAGTTTGTCGACGCCTGTGCTCTATGTTTCCTGTTCCTAATTTTGGTTGAAAACCGACCGATTTTGTCAAATTTCGCCAAAATCTCGTATCTTGACCTATTTGGGATGTAAAAATCAACGCTTTAGAATAAATATTTGACACAACAAGTTCTATTTAACTTTCTCACATGTCTTTAAGTCAACTTAAAACATTTTTCATCTTGCAACATTGAACTTTATAATCGGGGCCAAATATCCTTTAGGATGTGAAATATCGTTTTTAATAAGTTTTCTACAGGTACAGCCAAATTTACTAATCAACTCTTTGTATCTATGAAAGAATTTAGTAAAAGTTTTAAGTAATTTATGGTAACGAAATCCCTGACTTAATTATTTACCAGTGATGCATTGATTACGTTCGTTAAAATATATGACATCACTACACACACGGGCATAACGAACGAGTTGGGATATATAAACACCGTATGATGGAGCCAAAGGAACATCGCCGTCTAAAAAAGGAAAATTAAACAATAGGGAATAAAAATCGTCTCTTTTGTTGTGAATTTTAGTATGGAGTTTCGCTTTAAAAATTGGAATGTCTAAATCTACAAAAGGACACTACTGCTGTTTATGTTAGATTTATTCAAAGTAAGTTCCTTTGGGTAAATTCCGGTAGTATATTTAGAGAACTCTGGATTATTTAACGAAAAAATATCATCAAGATAATTTGTTGATTCTACCTCACTTATTCTTTATTCTGTTCTGTTCTTTCTTTCTGTTCTGTTTTCTCTCGATTTATCAAATTTCCCATCTCATCTAGTCTAGTCACACATGGAAGACCTGTGCTTCAAGCAAATATATTGAATTGAAAATTGACGAGGATAAACAATCTGACTATGAAATCCTTGATCAGTTCCAGATCTGATCAGATTTGTTAGGAAAGTACCTGTCTTATTGAAATACAAATCCTGTGTCTACACTTTGCTAACAAGGATCTAATAAAACGACATTCTACTTTCTGGTATACCTTTCGGAATGCTTTGATTTTGTCTTAATGATACCACTTCATATAATTTGGAGGCAGAATTTCATTGGCTGGTATATTAATTACAAAACAGAGAGGATAGAACGGAGCGTTGTCAGATCATTGTGAGTAAAGCGGAACAGACTTAGTGTGAATAAAGCATGCGTAACAGTTGTGGACACGAACTGTATTTCAACCAACTACTCAACCGTAACCGTTCTCCTAAATATGTGATCATTCAAACTTAAGAGATGATTTCGATCTCGGGAGACGGATTTATAAAAGTTTCCCCAAACTTGTTTCTGAATCCCATATCTGACTGCTATGTAAAACTGCACTATTTTATTGTTATAAATTTTCAATGATAAATACAGGTTATGCTGATTTGCATCATTAATTGAAAAAAACGCAATGTAAAATGCAAAAAATAAAGTATTGACAAGATATTTCCTACATGTGATTATTGGTTTCCTGAACAACAATACGATAAAACGTATAATACACTTTTTCATTTCATGATGATGGTGTACTATAACTTTTTGATAATTCTTCTATTTTTACTAAGTGGTGGTCTGGCGGATAACGGTAAGACTTATAACCTTTTTTTTACATCATGGTAGTAACGTGAAATATCAGAAAGCCTGTCTTTATCTTAGGTTGATTTAACTGTCTGATGATCAGGCAAATGACGGTATGGCGTATGCCTGCAACAGAACATTTGACGTAGATTTATTTCAGATTTGCTTGTTTTTTATTTGGTTTTCCTTGTATTTACATTAAAGTAAATTTGCATATAATGCAATTCTAAGTATTCAAACCACACTGTAATCATAGCCGTTCAAGGTTCATATATACGTTATATTAAAAATTGTGGAAAATTTGGTTATATTCTTTTGATTGGAGCGTCACTGATGAGTTTTTTGTAGACGAAACACACGTCTGGCGTACAAAATTTCAATCCTGGTATCTTTGATGAGTTTATTTACAACCACTGAGTCGATGCCACTGCTGGTGGAGTTTTTCTCCTCGAGGGTATCGCCTGCCCAGTAGTCAGCACTTCTATATTGACATGAATTATCACTGATATGGATGGTCATAAATATGAATTAACTGTTTACAAAACTTTGAATTTTTCGAAATACTAAGGATTTTCTTCCGCAGGAATGGATTACCTTAGCTTTATATGGCAAAACTTTTAGGAATTTTGGGTCCTTAATGCTCTTCAACTTCGTACTTTATTTGGTCTTTTCAACTTTTTTAAATCGAGCGTTACTGATGAGTCTTTTGTAGACGAAACGCACTTTTTAAATGAACACACAGTTTTTAACACAACCAAATAATTATAATAATAGGAATCAACTCGGATATTTGCAATCACCAGCTTTCATTACATGTTTTGAATTAAGAAAAATGACACACTCGTTTCTTACGTACTTTTGCAAATAACGATCTGAATATCATTAAAAAAAACGTATATACAAAGGGGGCATAATTTATGCAATATCTTTCAGAATAGATAAGTCACCTCGAGACAAACAAATCTCATGGAGCAAAGTGAAACACGCCGCTACAAACGAATTTACCGGAGCAATGTAAAACACGACGCTACAAACAAATCTAACAGACCAAAGTAAAACACGACGCTACAAACGAATCTAACCGAGCAATGTAAAACACGACGCTACAAACGAATCTACCGGAGCAATGTGAAACACGACGCTACAAACAAATCTACCGGAGCAATGTGAAACACGACGCTTCAAACGAATCTAACCGAGCAATGTAAAACACGACCCTACAAACGTATCTAACCGAGCAATGTAAAACACGACGCTACAAACGAATCTAACAGAGCAATGTAAAACACGCCTCCTCAAACAAATCAAACGACGCAAAATGAAACACGACTGCTACAAACGAATCTACCGGAGCAATGTGAAACACGCCGCTACAAACGAATCTACCCGAGCAATGTGAAACATGACGCTACAAATGAATCTAACCGAGCAATGTCGCTACAAATGAATCTAACCGAGCAATGTAAAACATGCTTCTTCAAACAAATCAAACGAAGCAAAGTGAAACACACCGCTACAAAAACAAATCTAACGAAGCAAAGTCACATGGAAACATGCCGCTACAAACAAATCTAACGGAGTAAAGTCATTGTGAAACGTGCCGATAAAAACAAATCAAACGGAGCAATGTGAAAGACCTGATTTTTTATTTGATAAATACATCTCTTACGATCTTTGTTTTTTTCCCTCGATCTATGTAGATATAACAGGTCTCAAAATAGTTATCACATATATGCGTTTCATTGTAGCTTTTACTACTGACATACCCAGTACATCACCACCACCACCACCTCACGTTAAAGGTATATAATTTCATTATTAAGGAACAAAGGTTCACACTCTCTCAGGTAAAGTTGATCGTAGACGAATTTGGCATTTCCTTTAAGTTCCACTTTCGGACATATAAACAAATATTTATGTGTAGCTCCTATTTAGGTTTTTAGGGAGCAACCATTTAACTTCAGGGGGGGGTGGGGGGGGGGGGCGGTTATGGTTTTTTGTCCGAGTCAGATTTTTTTTTTAGCTTTTCGACGCTATCAATCAAATTATTTTTTTTTTTAAATTTTAACACTATAAGGTATGGGGGAAATCTGGATTTAGAATATTTTTTTTTGTTTGTCATCTGCTTGACCACAATATTTTTTCATCAAATTGGGGATCAGAATATATTTTTTTAGGAAAAACCATAAGCCCCCTTGAAGTTAAATGGTCGTTCCCTTATACAACCTTGGCTTTCAATTTTTGGATTTCAATGTTCCTGATTAAAGTTTTTACAGAAAAGCGCTTAAGACACCAGAAAATAGAGTGTTATATTTATTTTACAGCTTTATTCTCATTCGGTATGTGTCCAGTATGAATATGTATTTGAAATATCATTATCGTTTACAAAACAATGAGGTATTACCCTTCAATAATTCAAGCAAATTAAATAATTTATTTATCCGTTACTATTTTAAATACTTTTCTCTCGGCGAATAAAAGTAGCAGAAATAAAAGTTAAAGTTTGTCTGCTGGTCTTTCCCCTTTATTTTTTTCCCATGGCGTTGTCAGTGTTAGTTTATGTTCAACTAATGAGTTTAAATGTCCCTTTGGTATCTTTCGCCTCTCTTTTGTAAATACAATACAGAGAATCAATTTATAGCATTTCATCTTTCATTACGGTAAAACTTATCATATATACTCAGCTTGATATTACCACAGCTGCGGACATTCTAAATTTGTTTAAGGGGGTAAAGTGGTAGGAGTTTCTTTATATAAAGACTGTATTATTATTTGTTTTGTTTTTATCTGTATAGATTCTCTGAATACCAAACACACATGGCTAATTGCTGGTATCATTTTTGCACTTTTATTCATTGCTGGTGTGATCACACGTGTAGTTTTGATTGTAAGGTAAGTTGATATTAGTTGAAAATGATGTTTTCTATGGTTCATGGTAAGGAAAATAAAGAAAACCTCTAAGGATCGGTTTATAATTTTTTCCAAAATTAGTCTATATAAAAATAAGAAGATGTGGTATGACTGCCAACGAGACAACTCTCCACAAAAGACAAAATGACACAGAAATTAACAATTATAGGTCACCGTACGGCCTTCAACAATGAGCAAAACCCTTACTAGTCTATGGTAGGAAGTAAGTGCTTTGGATACCTCGGCTAATTGTCATGTTTATAAGATTACCGAAGGATTACAAGTGTATAAACTGAAAGCTTGTCACATTTTGTGATGACATATATTTTATCATCGAGGCTTGACGAATACTATTTCTGAGATTATCCTTGTTTAATATTTGAGGACTATGTTACAGTATTTTAGCGAAAAAATGTCTAAAACAAAAAATCTCCGGATCACAATGTTTTAATCTCCTGGTATGATTTAATACAATGTTAGTTTATCTCGGGTGCATGGAAACTATATGATAGTATAATCACTATGGTGCGCTTTTCTGTATTCGCATTTGGCCAAAACATTACAGAGTCAAACAAAAATGTAAAAAAAAAAAAAAGAATAATTGGAATGATTGACAATGAGAAAATTATTTATTAAAGACCAAACGACACAGATGTGAACAATTTCAGATCCCTGTAGGCCTAAAAAAATCAACAATGTATAGAAAGCTATAAAAAATTCTTGTTATAATAAAATGCGAAACAATTCAAAAGAGAAAACAAACAGCCTTATGTGTGATACAAGGATAAAGGAAAAACATTGTTGACAGATAGTAACTATAGGCAAACACTGGATTTCAGGATCTTTATTAACACAATATAAAAAAAACACCTACAGCACACAACATTTTATTTTATGATTGCTAGAACATATAGCTAAATATACATTAGAGAACAGAATGTAAATTCATACATTTGGCCAAAAGATACCAAAGGGATATTCTAGGTTAACTTGCATTTATTTCTATAATTTTATCACTAGGAGAAGGCGAGGCGGGTAGCATTGAGGAATGTGACAACATCTTCTACAGGATAGAGAATAGTCTTTATTTGAAATCTAAAAGATAAATACTTTTGTAACATTTCAAAATTACAACAAGTATTGATATTTTATTGTTTAACATTTTTATGATCATGATATATCATTATGATACTATACAAATACTTTCGTCGATTGTTGCTTTGATTTTAGATTAAAATGTTTACCAATTTTATTATCCATTTAAGCCAACCATGTGCTAGTACTAAATGTTATTGGTTAGAACAAAATTTCAATTTGAAAACAATCAATTTCGTTTCTATATTTAGAATTTTAGAGATATATATCCTAGGTTGGACAGATTTCTCACAACACATCAAGCTTTTTCTTCATTTGCTTTCCATAGACCTGTGTTCTATACAGGAATTGTTTCACCTACAACATTTTCATGTTTGTCTGTCTTGACATAGCATTGGGATACTTGAATTAATATTGGCAAGGCATTATAACCAACTTATAATATTGTTATCAACCAACGGAACGAGTGAAAAACAACTGTTATATTCCCGACTTGGTACATGCATTTCCCGAAAAAATGTTGGATTAAACCGTGTTTTACAGCTAGCTAAACCTCTCACTTGTATGACAGTTGTTTATAGTTCCATCATCTTGACAAAATTGCGTGAGCAGCCCAAACAGACATAATAGGTTAATGTGAAAATAATTTAGATCCAGCATCTTAATCTGTAAACATACATTATAGTAATAACAGCAAATCTGGGATTCCCTCAGCTACATCATTCCCGCAAAATGAGATTTAAGAAAATCAAAAACCCATCATTCTCTCCTTTGGTATACACACCTAAAAGGACGATGAAAATCTTCCGTCTTTATAGTGGATAACTAAACTTTACAAAAATCCTTATCAAGAAAAACATATAGCTGGGTCGTCTAGGTGTCTTTCTATAGTTTTTACTACCATTCTGTCTACATTTAAAGATGGCCAGTCTTCAAAAATATTGTGATGAGGTTTACCAAACCAGTGATGTCAATCAGATGTAACGGAATAGTACCAAAATTGCACCGAGTACAACATTTGCACTCATTATGCCAAAAAGCAACGGTATGAAATTACTTCTGATGTAAATAGTTGGAATCAAAGAGATAAGGGTCTTTCCTTGGATAGCTATAGTAGTCTCAAGGTAGTTGATAGGGCAGTATTGGGCAAATCAAATGACAAAGACAGAAGGGACTTTGTAAAATTAAGGGAAGCTTTATCAAGAATGTTTGGTTGTGTACAAAGGTACATATCTAAATTACAAGGATTCTCAAGAAAGAGAGATGAAACTATTTCAGATTAAGCTAGTTCTATTATGAAATTAACACGCCATTGGCAAGCTTACCCAAAAGCTGATACTCAGTTACTTAACACACTCTCTCTCAGTAGATTATTTCATAGATGGACTAGACGATCACGACATTAAACCTCGGCTCAGACAAGCCAAGCCTAATAACATAACAGATTAGAAACCAACAAGATGACAGACAAAGCTAAACATAAACTAATAAGATCGATAAATGATAAAGGGTCATTTGAAAATGAAACTTAATCAGTCTGTTCTAGTTTCAAACAAGTTGTTAGATCTTTGACAGATGAAGTAAATTTTTTTAAATCACTTTAGATTTTCAAACATTAAGCTGCCAGTCAGATGACTTTAGCCACTTCTCTGATAAAAAAATTACACTTAACAGGAATATGATAAGATGTCTTTCGTTAAAAAGCCAAACGGGCAAATACAATAAATCGTTCGGGAAACTAGAAGACTTCAAATCAAAGGGTCATGATTTGATGTCCAATAATTAAAAACTCAAAGCTAAATTCAAAAAGGGGAAGTCTATAAAAAATGACAAAATCAAACTTTTTCAACCAACGGAACGAGTGGAAAACAACTGTTATATTCCTGACTTGGTACAGGTATTTTCCAAAGAAAATGGTGGGTTAAACCTGGGTTTAAAGCTAGCTAAACATCCTACTTGTATGACAGTTATATTGAAAAAAATGGATGAGCAATCCAAATAGACGTCGATAAAACAGTTTTTGTAGTTGATAGTATATTTCGTATATAGTATACACTTTCTCGAAAAAGTGCAAATTAAGTAAATAAATACAAGGGTAAACAAAATAGAAACAACCCTGTAATAACCTCTAGCGTCCGAATCGCACCTCGGGACCCACCTGCACCAGGAACGCACAAAGTTAAAACCCTATAGCGGGATGCGTGTCGTGTCAAAAGTCATACAACAAAAAGAAACATAATAGCACGAAGACAAATAAAGGGGAAACTGTAAAGTAAATAAAAAAGATACACAACTTCAGCACCTAGAATCTATAACTCAAGACCATATTGTATCATTTGTGAAGTAGACACTGAATATTTATTTATTAGGTCTTGGTACTTTCCGATGAAATTTTTGAGAAAAAGGACGAGACGATATTTGACAAAACCCTGGTTCATTGTGTTTTCGCTCAGACACCGATGACGTTTTACAAATTCTGAGTAGCAGAAAATTAATACGGGGGTTTGTTGATATTGGAAAATCTTTAGACCAAATGAAACACAATTATAATAAAGGCAACAGTAGTATATCGCTGTTCAAAAGTCATCAATCGATTAAGAGAAACAAAACGAATCCGGGTTACAAACTAAAACCGAGGGAAACACATCAACTATAAGCATGATAAGAGGAAAACAACGGAACAACAGAAACACTGAACTTCAACAAAAAAATGTTAAAACATATCGCTAAAATGACAACACTACGTAACAGGAATACAGTACAAACAAACGCAAGATCACTCAGCACAGATAAATGCATAAATAAATAATATAATAGTACATTACAACATGTAAACCGCAGAATAACAACGGAAACCAGCACAGGACACCACAAACAGCGTCAAAATGTGACGTATTTTTGTGACGTTTATATAATCTTGAAATTGATACGATTATTTGAAACGAGATCCAAAAATTCACAATTATTTTCACAATACTAGTCTAAATAATTATCATGATTATGACGGTCTTGAAAGGCTATTTTAAATTAATGTGTGACGACGTCATAATTATTTTGACTAACACAATACTTTATCCTTGGAAAATAGAAAATAACTCGACTACACTGACAAATAAGACATATGTGAAATGTACTGAAAATACAGAATTTATAAACGATAAGACATAACACAATATCCAACCGTACTTACAAAAGAAAGATCATAACTAAATACATGAATGTTGGATGTATAAATACCGAGACACGTCGTATAGCAATGCGAATTCACACTCGGCAAAACAGTCATATTCGGGAATAGGTCACGTTCGGTACTTAGCTGACAGACGACGTAGACGGTAAACCTCAATCTAAGACGTGGTAAAGATGTCGTTAGTTAGTTTAGACACAGACACATCGTACAGATCAACCAATTCGTGATGGTGTCTATTAAATTTACGGAGTGTCATTTTTAATCTTTCCTCCTCATATCTTTGTTGGAGCAGTTATAAATCATTTGAATGTACCGAAGCACAACACACAGAAAAGCAGATTACCATAATCCCCGATATTGAATTTTCCTACTAGGGAGGGGAAATTCAATATTGAATACAGATACAAGTAATGTAAGATTATGTGTAGTACTTTCACAAATCCAGGAAGGAAACGAAAAGGCCTTTGTTACATTAAAATTCTGTCAAAATCAGAAAGTTCATACTGTGTAACTTGTAAAGAATTATTTGCATTTGTAGAACACCTGAAGTGTTTTCGTTGTAACTGGACAGATATAGCACTTCACAGTGGATCATGGCAAAAAAAACACTTCAAAAACTCGGAACTCCAACGAGCTTGTTGCTTTAAAATGCTTTTTGATTATGATTTTGAAATCGTTCTCAGAAAAGGTCGCAGTCATACAAATGCAGATGCTTTATAATTATCTAGAAGGCCTTGAGAGCAAATATAAATATTGTGAAAAAGTTGAACTAAAGGAGAAAAGACAAAGAAGCTGTGAAATGTCTATCATCTCCTTACGACAAATATGGTGTTGTTCCTGCAGACAAAGCTTCAGATAATATTGTCTTTGTATGTAAATCGTACTACTACGAGTGTCTTGTAAAAGAATTAAGAATAAATGAGCACTCAGGTAATCCCACATACAAAAACATATCATTTGACAAGGCGAATCATAAGTCCTTCATGGATTCAATGAACAGTATATTGAAAAGCAAATCTGAGGATTTACCTTGTTTGTATTGAATACCTAAGCTTCACAAAAATTCCGTACCAACAACGGTACATTGCCGGCTCATCTGCATGTTCTACAAAGGAATTGTCCATTAGATTGACAAAAATTCTGTCCGCAGTGAAAGAGCGTCTTAAGAAATACTGTGAAATTGTTTACTCGCGTAGTGTTATTAACCATATGTGGATTCTAAACACTTTTGGATAATTTTAAATCTCGATCTTTCTCTGAAATTATTTCTTTCAAAATTTTTGATTTTTCAACCCTGTATACCACCATTCCCCATGTGAAATTGAAAAATCGTCTAAAAGAAAACCACAATGCCTTTCAATATAAAAATGGTAGCCTTCGCTATAATTTTTTTAATTTTGGATACCATACGGCATATTTTGTTAATAGTGAACAAAAAGGTAAAACATGCTACACAGAGGAACAAGTAATCAGTATGCTGGAGTTTCTTATTGACAACATATTTGTTGAATTTTGAGGTATACCTTTTCAACAAATTGTCGGCAATCATATGGAAACGAACTGCGTGCCTCACCTTGCCGACCTCTTCTTATTTTTATATGAGTCGGAGTTCCTTCAGACACTTGTCAAAAATAAGAAGATCAAAGAAGCCAGATCATTTAATTTCACATTCAGATATATAGATGATGTTCTTTTCATTAACAATCCAAACTTTTCTGATTGGGTTCCATGAATATGTCCTCCGGAACTAGAAATTAAAGAAACAACAGACACGGCTTCCTCCACCTCATTCTTAGACTTACACCTCGAATTTGACATAAGCGGTCATCTCAGTACCAGAATCCATGACAAACGAGACGATATTAATTTTGAAATTATCAATTTCCCCCACCTTAGTAGCAATATACCAACTTCAC